CCAGGACGGCCAGGGAGGGCCTGCAGCCCGAGGGCTCGTCCGCCGGAGAGGCGCCGGGCCACCCCCTGGGTGCTGGAGGAGACCTGTTGGCCGGCAGGAGCCGCCATGCGGGGGGTTCTGAGGATGAGAGCTGGGGTCCCTGGACGGCCACCGGGCGACGCGCCGCTGCTGAAGGGATGGGAGAGGGCGCCAGTGGAGCGGATCAGGCCCCACCCCCCCCAGAGGCGAGGGAAGCCCTGCGGCCGTGCCGTTACCCAGGGTGCCCGTACTTGGAGCACTCCCAACCCGCGACTGCTGTCGATGGGGGAGCGCTGTGGCGACCAGGTTTCTGCTGCAACAAGTGCGCGGGGCGGTCGGAGGGAGCGGACTGGGCAGAAGGAGGCGCGAAGCACTTCAGGCATTGCGAGAAGATGCCCCACGGTCAGCCGACCCCGGAAGGGGAGGGGCCGTCAGAGACCGCAGCCGTAAGAAAGAAGCGCAAGCAGGAGCGCAAGCAAGAGATTGCAGCGGCTGCTGCCCGGGTGCTAGCCGCCGCTGCGTTGGCCGCCCCCCCTGCGGGGTCCGAGTCAGGGGCCGCGGAGGAGCAGGGTGAGGAGAGCGGCAGCAGAGGTCCAAGCGAGGAGTGCCCCCCCCCATCGCCAGGGGAGCTCGCCCGGCGGGCGCAGGAGGAGCGAGGCGCTGCCCGGCAGAGTAAGGCGGAGGCAGATCGGCCCAAGGATGCGGCCGGGCACCCTGGTGCAGGGCAGGCGGAGTACATCCATCTAAGGGCGAAGACCCCGCCCGCACCGGCAGCTGTCAAGCAGGAGGAGAGGTCTGAAGAGGAGCCCCCGGCAGAGGTCGCGCGGGCGGTTGGTCAGACTTACCGCGCGCTCGCTCGGCGGGTGGAGTTCCAGAGGACAGGGCTCTGGTCCGCACCAGAGGAGGAGGACCGCCCCCGGGTGAGATGCTCCGGGGCGGAGGCATCAGCGGCCCACCCTCGGCCGGGTCGAGAGCCACTCCCGCAGCCAGGGAGGCGGACCGACCGCGAGCCGCTGCCCCAACCAGGAAGTTGGGTACCCCCTCCCGGGGGGTCGAGAGGGGCCGGTGGGTCGGAGGGTCGGCCACAGCCCCCGGGCCACCGAGCGGAGGAGGACCCGCTCAGGCCTGGTGGACCTGCACGTGCTGCCGAGGCTGTAAGGGACCTCAACTCGCCCGAGTCCTACTCGGAGGGGGACTACGAGGAATCTGAGGAGGAGGTTGAAGCACGTCGGCCAGTGCCGTTCCCAGGAGGCGGCCCTGACGCCCACTGCGTGGTGCGAGTATTGCGGTGTGCAGGGTGAGGGCCGGGACACGCGCTGCCCGATGTGCAACAAGACCTACCCCATCTCGATGGCCAATGACCGGCTGTCGGCAAGGCAGAGGGCAGCCGAGGCGGGGCGTGCCGTCGCGGCCCCCCCGGGGCGCGGGGGAGGAGAGGAGTGCGAGCGTGAGGAGGTGGCACGGCGTGCGGCGCTGGAGGCTGGACCTTCCGAAGATATCGACCCGGAGGCGGTGAGTCGGTACCTGGAAGCGGCGGCAGGCAGCGGACAGGGCAGTGAAGGGCTCGAACGTCAGCTGAGGCAGATCGCCAGGGAGGACTCCAGGCGTGCCGGCGGGCGCGCGGATGAGGGGTGCGCGCCAGAGCTCCTGAAGTTGGTGGATGCTGCAGTGGTGGCCTCGGTGGCCAAGGGGACGAAGGCGACCTATGGTGTTGCCTGGAGGCAGTGGACGACGTTCTGTCGCATCCGCAGGAAATCGCCCATCCTGCATGGGGAGACTCGCGAGGAGCGTCACCAGGATGAGGAGGAGCTGCTGCTGTTCATGGTGCACCTGTACAACAGCCTGAAGCGGTCGCACGGCACGATACGGTCGAAGTTGCTGGGGATCCGCTCACATCATGTGATGCTGGGTGAGCCCGACCCCTTGGCGGGTAAGCCGCGACTGTGGATGGCGTTGAATGGGATAGAGAATTGGCAAGGTCCTGGGAAGAGGAAGCTCCCGGTGACGACCAAGTTGCTGAGGAGGATACGAGATATGCTGAAGCCGGACCTGTGTGCGGATGACGCCGCCTTGTACTTCTGCGTGATCTTCGCTTTCTTCTTCATGATGCGGATCGGCGAGTATGCTCACTCGGGGCATTGGGATTTGAAGAAGGTCTTGACCGGGCTGGATATTTCCCCGAAGTGCAAAGGCGAGCAGGTAAGTCACTTCGCCGCCGCGGACGAGGTGGTGCTGTGGTTTAAGGCTTCGATGGCGGACCAGAAGGGAGCAGGGCAGGCGAGGAACCACTTCCGGTCGAATGACCCGCACGGCATCTGCCCAGTGTGGGCGGCGGAGTGCTACAACCACTGGTTCCCGAGCCGTATCGTGGGCGAAGAGGCACATCTACCTCTGGCGAGGTGGGAAGACGGTAGCCCGATCACGCGGGAGCGCCTTCAGGGAGTACTTCAGAAGGCAGCAGCGTTGGAGGGCTACCCGCCTGACAGGTTCAAGAGTCACTCGCTCCGTATTGGGGGAGCGACGGCCTTGTACCATTGCTTTCAGGACACGGAGCTGGTCAAGCGATGGGGACGGTGGAACAGTGGAGCTTTTCACCAGTATCTGTGGGAGGCAAATGAGGACGCCTCCGGAGTGTCTGAGGCGATGGCGAAGTCGATTGCGACACTGCACGTGGGATATAAGGCGGGTGTGTCGGGAGGCGGACCGGCTGCTGGTGCGAAGGAGGAGCCGGAAGCCTGAAGACAGTAGTAGGAGTCCGAGCTTAGAGCTAAGGCGGGTCAACACTGGAGGAGCCGTGGCTGGATTGTGCGCAGTCCTGGGGTAGCGGCCTGGGGGCAGTGGCGACCCGCTGGATCGATGTACGAAAGCGAGGTGGAGGAGGGCTGCCAACCCCAGTCGGCACCACCCGCAAGTCACGGGTGCCGAAGGGGCGGGCGGAGGTGAGGAGGCTGAGGGCCGGGGCGTCCCGCCAGTGCGGTCCCCGAGGAGAGGCGGAGGTGGCCGGGGCGTCCCGCCAGAGCGGTCCCCGAGGAGAGGTGGAGGAAGTCGGCGGGTGCTCCGCCGACGCCTGCACGCGCTGGGCAACGAGGTGCCCAGCTGTGAGCCCCGTTCGGCACCACCCGCAAGTCACGGGCGCCGAGGGGGCGCGAGGAGCTGGGTGGCCGAGGAGCCGCCAGCCTGGCGGCACAGCCGGGCCTCAGCCGAGGCCCGACGTGAGCGTGTGAGGGACGGCACGCGCCTGCAGCGGCCAAAAGCGCGTGCGCTCTCTTCGCTCTAGTTTTGTTTAAGCCCGAACAGTGCTTGTGCTCGTCGCGGGTCGGGCGTCCACTGTTTGGTTCTACCAGGCACTTTCTCACTTAAACGTGAGAGTTTGAGCGTGCGTAAAACGTAGGGTTTCAGGGAGTAGTGCCTGGTGAGGGGGAAGGGTCTCTCTTGCCTTCTTCCCTTTCCCCCTCTCCGCGGCCCCTCTGGGGCTCAAGTTCCTTCTCGGGCCCTTCCCTCCCAGGCCCTCCCTGGTCCATCGTAGGTCCTTTTCACTTTTTCGGCCTTGACCGCCTAGCGGTTCGGGCCGAGGAGCCGCCAGCCTGGCGGCACAGCCGGGCCTCAGCCGAGGCCCGACGTGAGCGTGTGAGGGACGGCGCGCGCCTGCAGACGCCAAAAGCGCGTGCGCTCTCTTCGCTCTAGTTTTGTTTAAGCCCGAACAGTGCTTGTGCTCGTCGCGGGTCGGGCGTCCACTGTTTGGTTCTACCAGGCACTTTCTCACTTAAACCGGCCCATCCCGCTATTGTGCCTGGGTTGTGGGTCAGAGTTCTCATGGCTGCCTCTTGGGGTCTCTTGAGACCGCTCTCGGGGGCCTCTTGGGAAAGTTTGGGGACCTCTTGGGAGCCTCTTTGGGGCCTCTTGGGGGCTCCTGGGCCCTCGGAGCCGTCTTTGGGGCCTCTTGGGCCGTTTCGGGCGCCTTTTGGGTTGTTTTGGGGCCTCTTGGGCCCTCTTGGGGCGATCTTGGGGGCTTCCTGGGCAGTCTTGGAGCGCAGGGAAGCAGAAAAGGCGAGAACGCCCAAATCCTTCAAACAACAAAGGACACATTAATTCTTTTGGCCTTTTGGGGCCCTCTTGGGAGGTTTTTTGGAAGCCTCTTGGGGCGTCTTGTAGGCTTCTCGGGCCGTCTTGGGGCCATCTTGGGCGTCTTAGGGGCGAGCTTTGGGCGTCTTGGGGCCCTCTTGGGCCGTCCTGAGGGCCTCTTGAAGCCCTTTTGGCCCATCTTGGTTGGGGTCCTCTTGGACCCGAAAAAGTCACGCGAGAAGATGCGGGGGAGCCTATGGGGCACGCGGGACCCCCCAGGAGATTTGGCAATTTCGGCTCGGGGTATTTAATCAATTTCTTAGGAGGGCACGCCCACAGAGCAGTGATGAACCCCTCCCCCGAGGAGGGGAAGCCAGGGGTTTTGGATGATGGAAGAAACAACTCGTTATACCACCTTCGCCCAGAGGGCTGGTGGTATTTTCACGAACGAGTCCATCTGTGGCACTGCGGTACCATTCACCTATGCCCCAGCCAGCGCCGGGCGCTGCTCGACACTAGATGTCTGCTCCCCCGCTCTCCCTCCCACCCGCCTCCGCCCCTCTCCGAGGGGGTGGGGGGTGGATGGAGGATAGAGGGGGGAGAGAGGGAAACTAGGAAATAGGTGGGGGAAGGGAGGGATATCGGATAAGGGTGGGGGGATCAGTCGAAAGAAGGTAAAGGTGGAGTGGGGAAGGGTGGGGGAGAGCACACCGGGAGACTTGCAAGCCGTTCGTGACCTTTTTCGCAGGCTCCGCACGTGTTGGGACGCGCGCGCGAGCACACTTGCCGCGGCGGGGATCGGCGTCAATGGGTCTCGTGGCTTTTGATCGGAGGCGGCGGCGGCAGTGACAGTGAGGAAACGTTCCGGAGGGAGTGCACGTGTTCGTCGGATGTGCCCAGCCATGCCCCCGCCTTGGCAGGGCTGGCTTCGCGCAAGAGGGCCGCCCCATCGGCAGCTCGATCCTCGCAAGCGCTGGAGGGGATGGGGGCAGCGCGCCAACGGTGGATTCCTTAGATCGAGGAGCGTAGGGGTGGTGATGAGATAGGGAGGGAGGGGGAAGGACAGGAGAGATGATGGTCGCGGAGTCACTTGGGGCATTCTTGGGGCCCACTATCGGGGTTCTTTTGGGGAGTCTAGGGGGTAAGCCCCTCCGCCGAGCAGGGGAAGGAAGGGTTTTGTGAGAGAGAGAAGACAAAATCCGTTAAACCACCTACTCCCAGAGAACTGGTGGGACTTGCTACACGGCTGAGGTGCGCGCGAGCGCGGCGGTGGTGCTGGGGGCACTGCGGCGGAGGGGCGTTCTGTCATGCCCTCCCTCTCCCAAAACGCCTGTCGTGGCCACGAGTCAAACACGTTACCTTCTCGGTGTCGATGAACTTTTCTCGCCGACTCCAGTGGCCGGCCACTCCCCGTAATCCCGGAGTCGAGAGTGACCGACAGACAGATAGAGAGAGAAAGAGAGAGAGAGCAGAGAGATAGAGAGCAGAGAGAGAGAGAGAGACAGAGATAGAGAGAGAGAGAGAGAGAGAGAGAGGTCGTGACCGACAGAGAGAGAGAGAGAGAGAGAGAGAGAGAGAGCAGAAAGAGAGAGAGAGAGAGAGAGAGAGACAGACAGAGACAGAGACAGAGAGAAAGAGAGAGAGAGAGAGAGAGAGAGAGCGAGAGAAACAGAGCGAGACAGAGCAGGGATCTCGTGACACTGCGAAGGAGGGCGTCGACGGGGCGTGTAGGGCTCCGTGGCTCCAGGAGCGGCGCTGGCTCCGGGTGCCCCCCCTGCCGGCGCAGGGCGGCCCGCCGCCCGCAGCCCTCCGCCAGCCGCCCCGCCGCCGCTCGGGGCGCGCCGCCGGGCGCCTGCCCCGCGCGCCGCGCGGGCCGGCCCGGGGCGCCCGCGCTGCAGGCCGTGCTCGCGCTGCAGTGCAGTGCTCCCGCGGTGCGCCGCTTCGGGGGGCGATCACGGGCAGGAGCATCAAACAGCTCGGAGGTCGTCCGCGCGGACTTCCCGGAGATCGGCGCGGGGGCCCCAGTTTCCGTGGAGGGTTTCTCCGAGGGGCTCAGGCGACCCGTCCTCCTCCTCCTCTCTCCTACTCCTCCTCCTCCTCCTCCTCCTCCTCCTCCTCCTCCTCCTCCTCCTCCTCCTCCTCCTCCTCCGCCTCCTCCTCCTCCTCCTCCTCCTCCTCCCTCCTCCTCCTCCTCCTCCTCCTCCTCCTCCTCCTCCTCTCTCCTACTCCTCCTCCTCCTCCTCCGCCTCCTCCTCCTCCTCCTCGCCCTCCCCTCCTCGGGTCGCCTACGGCCCCGGGGGAAACCGGCCAAGATTCTGGCCGCATCACTGGGTTGGTCGTGGACTCTCGCGCGACGGCGTGTCGCACACCGTGCCCGTCTGCGATGGGCTGGGCGCTGCCGCACGCGAGCCTGCGCCTGGATCTGGCGGGGCGGGGCCTTGCGGAGCGCTCGGTGAGCAGTCTCTCACCCAGCGTGGCTGCCCCCTCGTCACCACGGCTGCCCGAAAGGTCGTGCGCGACGTCAAGGACAAGAAGCTCGACGTCGATGCCGAGAGGAGGAAGGCCGCCCCGGAGAGCTCCGACGGGGAGAGCACGCGCGAGCTCCCGGACGGGGACGTCATAGCCGTGGGCGGCGGGCGCTGCTGCTGCCCTGAGGTGCTCTTCCGCCCTGGGATCGTCGGCAAGGAAGCTATCGGGAGGGGGAAAAACACACAGACACAATTAATCGTCGATTGGCTGGTGGCATCCACGACACCACGCTCCAGTCGATCACATGAAGTGCGATGCCGATATCCGCAGGGGCCCGTACGCCAGCGTGGTGCCGTCTGGTGGCGCCACTCTGTTCCCTGTCACCCGGCGAAGGCATGACCAGGAAGCTGACGCGCTGGCTCTTTCCTCTGTGGTGATCAAGGTCGTGGCTCCGCCCGAGCGCAAGTGCTCGGTGTGGACCGGTAGAGATCTGTCCTTCTCTCGAGGAGCACCTTCCAGCAGATGTGGATCTCTCCAAGGGGTGCGGAGGTGCGACGAGTCGGGCCCCGCTACAACGTTCACAGGAAGTGCTTCTGAGGATTTGCCCTCGGCAGATTTTGGAAACCAAGCAAGCTAGAATCGTCCGACGTGGTTGGTGATCGTTTTCTTATTCATTGTTTTGCCGTCGGCGCGGGCCCTCTCCCCCCCCTCCCTCCCCCCCCAACGGAGTAGATCTTGGCTGTTTTTGGCACCTGGTTCGAGCAGGTGGAGGCTCCCCCATTGGACGCACTCCTGCAAACAGTCGTACTAAACAGAGGTCCAGAGCCAGATCCCCCTCCTCCTCCTCTTCCCGGCCCAACGTCGAAACGCCGAACAAGAAAACGCTCACTAAATGGAGATTGCGAGCTTGCCTCACACTCCAATGTTCACAGCTGGCGCTGGCAGTGATGACTCGCAGCGGTGCGTTGGCGTTCTGAAGTGCGTGAAGACATCTGCTTATGTCTCTGGCATTGATAGCAAGTGTCCCAGATGCGCATGCGCAGGCCGTACTCTTGGCTCGCAGGCCCTCCTTGTCACAGTCTGCCAGGGGGGGCCACCACCTGAACGGCTCCTCAATGGCGTGCCACCGGCGGCTTCTGCAGAACAGCTTGCACATTTTTCATCCGACTTCACTTGTTCCGCCCCTGCCGCTTTCCCTGCCTCCCTGCTCCCTCTTCCTCCCTCTCCCCCCCCCCCCTCCCCCCCCTCCCTCTCCGTTGGCGTGCTCCGTTCTCGTCCTTGATGGGCTGCCGCTTTCCCTGCTTCCTGCTCCCTCCCCTCCCCTCCCCTCCCCCCCCCCCCCTCCCTCCCCCTCCCCCCCCCTGCTTCCTGCTCCCTCCCCTCCCCCTCCTCCTCCTCCTCCCTCTCCGTTGGCGTGCTTCGTTCTCGTCCCTGCTGGGCTGCCGCCGTGCCGGCCCACGCAGGTGGGTCTGCGCCGGCCTGCCCTGGCCGCGGCGCGCCTGCGGCGCTGCGGGGGGGATTCGTTCTTGCCTCCCCTCCCCCCCTCGCCCCACTCCTCCTCCCCCCCCTCCCCTCCCCTCCCTCCCCTCCTCCCCTCTCCCCTCCCTCCCGTCCTCCCTCCCGTCCTCCTCCCCTCCTATCCCTCCTCCCTCCCCCCCCTCCCTCCCCCCCTCCTCCCCTCCCCTCACCCCCCCTCCCTCCTCTCCTCCCCTGTCCTCCTCGTGGTTGCGGGGCAAGGCGTTCAGCCTCCGGGGGCGGCTGCCGCGCCAGAGTTTTGGCGCCGTCCTGTCCGCGCAGGTCGTGCGCGGAGGCCCGTGAAGCTGTGCCAGCTTCGGAGCGGACGGCCACGCTCTCGCACCTTTGATGTTCACTGGGTTCGTGGCGCTTCACGCTCATGTGCAGCCTCACCCTGTCACTCAGGGGTTGAGGCTTGCATTTTGGTTCGCACAGCGGTCGAGGCCGGGTCGGGTAGAACAAATGGCATGGGCTTATGTATATAATTTGCATAGATGGGGAGAGAGATAGAGTTATATATATATATAGAGAGAGAGAGAGAGAGAGAGAGAGAGAGAGAGAGAGAGAAAGAAAGAAAGGGAGATAAATAGAGACAGAGAGAGAGAGAGAGAGAGAGCGGGGGAGAGCAGGGAAAGAGCCTAGAGAGCAAATCGTTTCGAGTCGAGGGGACAGAGCATGGATCATATCGCAGAGTGCACAAGGCAGAGCGCAGAGTGCATTGCGAAGACAGCAGCATGCGGAGAGGCGAAAGTAGAGAGAAGGGGGTTATAGCGTAGAGGATGGAGGGTAGAAATCAAACGCAGACGTGAGAGGTACAGAATAGACAGCATGCAGTATGTAATACACAGTACGGAGCAGATAGCTGAAAGCAGGAAGTAGAAGTTGGACAGGAGAGCACAGAGAACACAGTGAACCACAAACCACTGGTTGGGGCTTTCTCTGGCTTCGTGTATTTGCAGTGCTCAGTTCAAAACGCCGCTACCACGAATGAGGAGGTGTGGGAGGAAGATGAGGAGGAGCGGGAGCGGATGGGATGATGATGATGCTGATGATGCTGCTGATGATGATGATGATGATGATGTTAGTGGTGGTGGTGATGATGGTGATGATGGTGATGATGGTGATGACGGTGATGATGATAATGATGATGATGATGATGATGATGATGATGATGATGATGATGATGATGATGATGATGATGATGATGATGATGATGATGATGATGATGATGATGATGGGGAGGAGGACGAAGAGGAGGAGGATGAGGAGGAGGAAGAGGAAGAGGAGGTGAATGAGGAGGAGGAGGCAGGGCCCACGGGGTGTCAGTCCAGTGTCTTGTTTCCAAGTTCGTCCTTGTCTTCCATCTCATTCCCATCGACCATCCTCGACCCCGCGTCTCTGGTTCCAGGGGCTGCGCAGCCTCTGATTTGCTGACCGAGAGAGAGGAGAGGCAGGGATTGGAGGCTACGACGGCGTGACAAGGCGCCACGCAGCAGGCCGCCGCGTCTTGAAGATCGGTGGCGGGGGGGGGGGGACACTTCGTTGGAAACGTGCCCGAAAAGCTTGTGCGATGGGTTTGGGACGCGAGACGTCGCCCTCTGTCGACCACGACGTTCCACTATCCGCCAGGCGGATACTTGCAAACGGGCGAGGGCAACAGAAGCCGCCCGCGCCCACGAGTGGGTGCCTTGCGAGTAGCCGCATGCCGTTGCCCGTCCTCCTGCTGGCCCGCTGGGCTTCGGGGTGCTGCTTTGGGCATACCTACGCGCACGGACAGGATCTCCACTCGGGGAGGCTCCAGGGTCGAGCGTACGAGACCCTTGGAGCGCAAGACCCGTGGGGGGTGTGGGTGCGGCGCCGGCCCTCGTCGAGAGCGTCTGGACATTCTCTCCTCGTCGAGGAGCAGGACGAGGACGATAGTAGGGAGGAGGGCATGGATGATGATGATGATGATGATGATGATGATGATGATGATGATGATGATGATGATGATGATGATGATGATTCTGATTCTGATGATGTTGATGATGATGCTGACGCTGATGATGCTGATGATGATGATGCTGGTGATGCTGATGATGCTGATGATGCTGATGATGATGCTGATGATGACCATGATGCTGATGAGGATGATGATGCTGATGATGATGGTGGTGGAGGTGATGATGATGATGCTGCTGCTGACGATGATGCTGACTATGAAGATGATGATACTGATGATCATGATGATGCTGCTGCTGATCGTGATGATGATGTTGATGCTGATGATGATGATGCTGATGAGGATGATGATGCTGATGCTGACGATCATGATGCTGATGCGGATGCTGCTGCTGATGGTGATGATGCGGATCATGCTGATGAAGGCGATGATGTTGATGATGATGGTGGCGTTGATGATGATGATAACATTGATGGTGATGATGCTGATGATGCTGATGATTATAATGGTGATGATGAGGATGATGCTGATGCTGACGATCATGATGCTGATGCGGATGCTGCTGCTGATGGTGATGATGCTGGTGATGCTGATGATGCTTGTGATGATGGTGTCGCTGATGATGATGCTGATGACGATTATTATGCTGATGATGCTGATGATGATGCTGATGATGATGCTGCTGATTCTGATGATGATGGTGATGATGATGATGATAATGATAATGGTGGTGGTGGTGATGATGCTGATGATGATGCTGCTGCTGATGATGATGATTATGATGATGTTGCTGACGATGAAGATGATGACATTGATAGTGATGATAATTATGGTGGTGGTGTTGGTGGTGTCGGTGATGCTGACGATGATGCTGTTGATGATGATGATGCTGATGATGATGATGATGATGATGATGCTGAGGATAATGATGATGGTGGTGGTGGTGATGATGCTGATGATGCTGCTGATGATGATGATGTTGCTGACGATGAAGATGCTGATATTGGTGATGATGATGAAGCTGATGATGTTGATGATGATTCTGATGATGCTGGTAATGATCATGATGAGGATGATGATGCTGATGAGGATGCTGATACTGATGCTGACGATGATGATGCTGATGCGGATGCTGCTGCTGATGGTGATGATGCTGATGATGCCGATGAAGCTGATGATGTTGACAATGATGATGCTGGTGTTGATGATCATGATGATGATACGATTGATTATGATGATGCTGATGATGATGAGTATGATGATGATGCTGATGATGAGGATGATGATGCTGACGATCATGATGCTGATGATGCTGCTGCTCATGGTGATGATGCTGATGATGCTGATGATGCTTATGCTGATGGTGTCGATGACAATGCTGATGATGCTGATGACGATGGTGATGCTGATGACGATGATGCTGAGGATGCTGATGATGCTGATGCTAATGATGCTGATGAAGGTGCTGATGCTGATGATGATGATGAGGATGATGATTTTGATGAGGATGATCATGCTGGCGATAGTGATGATGGTGGTGGTGGTGGTGGTGATGATGCTGTTGATCCTGCTGATTATGATGATGACGAAAATGATATTGATGATGCTGATGATAATGATGATGGTGGTGGTGATGATGCTCATGAGCACGATGATGCTGATGATGCTGATGATGATGCTGCTACTGATGATGATGATGATGATGATGAGGATGATGATGATGATGATGATGAGGGTGATGATGCTGATGATAATGATGATGGTGAGGGTGGTGCTGGTGATGATGATGCTGATGATGATGATGACGATGGAGATGATGAGGATGATGATGCTGATGACGATACTGATGATGCTAATGATGATGATGATGGTGATGCTAATGATGATGCTGATGATGATGATGCTGATGCTGATGTTGATGGTGATGATTATGATGCTGCTGATGCTGATGATGATGATGATGATGATGAGGATGATGGTGATGATGCTGATGAGGATGATGATGCTGATGCTGACGATCATGATGCTGATGCAGATGCTGCTGCTGATCATGATGATGCGGATGATGCCGATGAAGCTGATGATGTTGACAATGATGACGCTGATGATGATGGTACCATTGGTGATGATGATGATGATGCTGATGCCGATGAGGATGATGATGATGATGGTGATGAGGATGATGCTGATGCTGACGATCATGTTGCTGATGCGGATGCTGCTGCTGATGGTGATGATGCTGCTGATGCTGATGCTGCTTATGATGGTGGTGCTGATGATGATGGTGATGATGATGATGATGATGTCGATGAAGATGCGATGATGATACTGCTGCTGATGATGATGCTGATGCTGTTGATGCTGATGATGGTGATGTTGATGATGATGGTGATGCTGCTGATGATGAGGATGATGATGATGATGAAGTGGATGATGCTGCTGATGATAATGATGATGGTGGTGGTGATGATGATGATGTTGTTTGTGATGATGACAATGAAGATGGTGATGTTGAAGATGATGCCGATGACGATGATGATAATGATGATGATGACGATGGTGATGCTGATAATGATGCTGATTCTAATGATGATGCTGATGATGATGTTGATGATGACGATGATGTCGATGATGATGCTGATGATGATGAGGATGATGATACTGATGTTGCTGACGATAATGATGATGGTGGTGGTGGTGATGATGCTGATGATGATGCTGCTGGTGATGACGATGATGACGCAGATGATGATATTGATGATGATGAAGATAACAATGATGATGCTGATGATGCTAATGCTGATGATGATCATGATGAGGATTATGATGATGATGATGATGATGATGCTGATGATGATGATGATGATGATGATGATGGTGCTGATGAGGATGAAGATGCTCATGCTGACGATCATGATGCTGATGCGGATGCCGACTGCTGATGGTGATGGTGATGATGATGATGCTGATGATGATGATAAGATTGGTCATGATGATGCTGTTGCTGATGATGATGATGATGAGGATGATGATGATGAGGATGATGATGCTGATGCTGACGATCATGTTGCTGATGCGGATGCTGCTGCTGATAGTGATGCTGCTAATTCTGATGAGTCTTATGATGATGGCGTAGATGATGATGCTGATGACGATGATGATGCTGCTGATTCTGAGGATGATGATGATGATGCTGGTGATGCTGATGATGATGCTGATGATGCTGATGATGATGGTGATGATGGTGATGCTGATGTTGATGTTGAGGATGATGATGCTGGTGGTAATGATGATGGTCGTGGTGGTGATGGTGCTGATGATGCTGCTGCTGATGATGATGATGACGATAAAGATGATGATATTGATGATGTGATAATGATGATGATGATGCTGATGATGATGATGATGATGATGATGATGATGATGATGATGGTGATGGTGATGGTGATGGTGATGATGATGATGATGATGATGATGATGGTGGTGGTGGTGGTGGTGGTGGTGGTGGTGGTGGTGAGGTTGGTGATGACTAGGAGGAGGAGGAGGAGGAGGCAAATGTGCAGGATGAGGGGGAAGGCGGAACCGTAATGTTTCGAAGCTCAGCCGGGACCGCTTCACGTCACCAGGTATATGGAGGGCGGATGCCAGTAGGTTGGTGGTGCGTAAGGAGGCTCAAGGGGCGCGCGAAGCGTGCCTGAATTGCCGATTCCCGTGTGTCCCTTGTATGCCCATATCTCCAGGAGCGAGGCATCGACCTCCTTGGTCTCAGTCGCTGTTCTTCGAGATCAGTCGCATGTGCTGCCTTGGTAATTGTCGTGCGCCGCCTTTTTCTTTCGGAGCAGCCTTTCTACGTCTGTTGCTACGCCAAAGAAATCGTTCGCAGATAAAGCGGTAAAGCGTATGTCTCGAGCATGCTTTGTGAGCGTGAGGGGATCATTTTCCGATGGTCGCAGGGCTCTATGATGTCCTCCAGGTGTCGAAATAGGGAAGTCAGTCCCGTCGTCTTTCCCTTGCAACGCCTGGGGGTCTATGTGTCCTTCTCCCCATCCACTGCGTCGCGTCGTCCCCGCGGTCGAGGTGAGCAGAGAGCACCCGCCATTCTAGCCACCGCCATTGTAGCCATACCTGAACCAGCTTCCAGCCCTCCTCCTTCCGCCCTCCGCCGCCTGTATCTCCCTCCTTCCCAAGTTCCTCTTCCTTCCTCTTGTCCTCTTCCTCCTAGTCCTCCTGCTCCTCCTCCTTCCCTCTCCTCCTCGCCTTTTTCAGGCCTTGTTCGTCCTGACCTGTGGCGATGCCTCTCCCTCTCCTTTGGTCTGACCTTCGGCCTTTCCTCGCCTTCTCCAGCTGCGCGTCCTTCTCTCTGGCGATGCCCCAGGCTCGCTCAGCGCTCGCCGGCCCGCGCCGTGGATGCTCGACGACTCAGGCCGGCCTCGAAGCGGCCTCGAGGGAAGGGCTGGCGCGCATCGTCGTCGTCGTCGTCGTCGTCGTCGTCGTCGCCGACGTCGTTTTGGCTCTCAACGATGCTTTGTTGTCGTCGTCGCCGTCGTCGTCGTAATCACCACCATCATCATCATCATCACCATCATCATCATCATCATCATCATCATCATCATCATCATCATCATCATCATCATCATCATCAACATCAACATCATTATCATCATCATTGTCATCATCCTCCTCCTCATTCTCATCATCTTCAATAACCTTAATTCGTCTTAGTAGTAGTAGTAGTTGTAGTAGTAGTAGTAGTAGTAGTAGTAGTAGTAGTAGTAGTAGTATTCTAATCACCAGCGTCATCATCATCATCATCATCATCATCATCATCATCATCATCATCATCATTATCAGTATCCATCATTGCTGTTATTTTTTTATGAGCATCGTCTTCTTCAGCATGATCATCATTAGCACCAGCAGCATCATCGTCATTATGACCATCAGCACCATATTCAACACCATCAGCGTCATCATCATCATCATCGCATCGTCGTCGTCGTCGTCGTGGCTGTCAACGACGCTTTGTTGCGTCGTTGTCGCCGTCGTCGTCGTAGTCACTACCACCACCATTATTATCACTATCATTATCCGTATACATATTAGTATTATGTTTGTTCTTATTTTCATTATTGTTATCACCGTCATTCTCATCATCTTTACCATCACCCAGCGTTGTTGTTATTCTTATCAGTATCTTCTTCATCATCATCAGCATTAGCATTAGCATCAGCATCAGCACCATCATCATGACCATCAGCACCATCTTCAACACCATCAGCGCCATCATCATCATCAGCATCATCCTCATCCTTATCCTCATCCTCATCCTCATCATCATCACCATCATCATTATCACCACCACCACCACCACCATCATCATCATCATCATCATCATCATCATCATCACCGTAGCCATTCTGGCTCAAGCCATTTTGGCTCAAGCCATTTTGGCTCAAGGGCTCGAGGGGAAGTGTCCGGCAGCATACCGTACCATTGTCTTGTGTACACTCACGCCTGGCATATTCTTGCTCTTTGCCCGCGCTGCCGGCTGGCGCGGCGCTGGTGCCTTGCCTCCCTCTGCTACGGGGACTCGGGGAGGTGAAGCCGTGGATCAACGGGTCCACCGCCAGCGGCGTGAACGTGCAGCACTTTTGTACATCACTCGCTTCGTCTTCTTCTCCAGCCCACTGTGGGCTGCCGCAGTACTACATTCTTCGTTTACTTCTAATTGGGAGGTGCTTCAATCTTCAATGCATAATTCTGGACAGGGCGCAGGCAACAAGAGAGGGGCGCCAGCAGGCGATCCGGCTGACGACATGGAGCTCGAAAATGAGGACAGGATCGAGCAGCTTATCGAACGTACTGCGGACAAGGTGGTGGACAAGGCCATGAAAAAAATGGAGGAAGTGGCCACGAAAGTTGTGAAGCAGGAGCTGGACCCCGTCAAAAAGGAGCTGGCGGAACACTCGGCAGCAATCAAGAAGTTGCAGCAGCAATCGGCCCTCAGTACCACTGGTCCCCCGTCTACGACTGGCAGCGCGTACTCCCGTCCGCCTGGCTCGAGGGGCGGATCGCAGGCGTTCACACCGGGATGCATTGAGTTGAAAGGGTGGATCAAAGACTGGAATCAGCCCGACGCCACGGCCCTGCTCGACACAGAGGCGCAGACGCTGATCGAGGCCATCATCGCCGGACTGGAGGGGGAGATGAGAGACTTGATTGACGTTGAGAGGTCCGTCAAATCGGCTCAGGCGCACACCTTCCACAAGAAACTCCAGGTACACTTGAAGATCAGGCACAAGGACGACGCATGGCGTCTCAGGAAAGCGGTCGCCGACTTCATCGCGAGGGGCATCCCGAACTTCCAGAACACGACCATCAATGTGACCGTGGAAGGGCCGCCGGACCAGCGGCCACTCTACCGGGCGGCCGCCAAGTTCTACGAGCAGCTGGAGGCGAAGCGCATCGATACCAAGCAGGTGAAGATGGAGTACTACAAGTCGTTTGGCCGCCACCCGGCCAAGCTTTCCGTGGTCGCCAAGCTCCCCAACATGCGCCCCGACACAGTGGCGGAGTACACGGAGGGAGACGGCTGGACCATCCGGGAGGCTGTCTGGACCCACTTCAACGGTGGCACCGTGCAGGAGCTCTACTCTGCACTCTCGGCCGTGTGAGGCCGGTGGAGGGGCAGGCGAGGCTTCGTCTGCTCCAACAGTTTCAAGATAGTATCGTGGAATGTGGGGAGAGCCGGTCATGAAAATGCACCGGAGATTCTACGACAACTCACGAGCCATTTTGGCAAGGATATTTTCGTTTGTCTTCAAGAGGTGGACAACTGGCCGGAGACAAGCAGCATGTGCACACCAGGGTGGGAGGCGAGACACGATGCAGGAAGCAGGGTCGCTATGGCGTGGCCCGGGGCTCTCGGACATCTCGTCCGCAGTCCTTGCGTCTTCACAGAGCGTGCCTGCAGCATCAACTTCGCGGGTGTGGCCATCACATGTTGTTACCTGCCAGACTCTTGGAAGCCGCTGGAAGAATATGACGCCGCAGTCAAAGATCTCAGTTTGCATTACGACCAGTTTCGCTTACAACATCATCGTTTGCATCATCGTCACATCGGGAACGACGGGGAGGCGGAGTCACAGGGACGTGGAGGTGGAGGAGGTACAACCGCAGACGGTGCAGGCTCTGTCAGTACTGTTCGTGGCCAGTCGCGAGACGCTCTGGGAGACCCACCCCTCGGTCAAGCGGTTCGGGAAGGTCGGGGCTCTGTCTTGGTTGGGGATTTCAACGTGACCTTGCCGAGCATGCCGGGCATTACGGGAGAATCGTATCATCAAGAGTGGGGGGCTAATGAATTACAGGAGAGACAACATCTCATCTTCAGCTTCATCACATCTCGTCACCTACGTGCTCGTTCTACTTGGCTACCCGTCGGCGTACCGCACTACACACATCGTAATTACGGGAATGGTAACAAGTCAGTCCTCGACTACATTTTCTCGTCCGGGAGCGTGCACGGGCGTTGTGACGTGGCGAATGGGAGGGAGTGGGAGGTGCCCCCAGGTACACAACGTGATCATTACCCTCTGGTTCTCTCACTTCTTGGGATGGGTCTCGATGCTACCTTCTGCTTGCCCTTGCGGAGCCTGGCAGGTTGGACCCCCCAGACTGACGAGGCGGAGCATGATTTCCGGGAGTCTGTGGAGACCGAGCTCCTTGGACAGTTGCATTCCGACCAGCCTTTGCACAAGAAACTCGAGGCTTGCAGCGACACCGTGACTCGGCTGGCGAGCACAATCGGCAACACTACGCTCAACCAGCGGCGCCGTCAGTGCCAGGTCAAACCGGATGCCGTGCGGAAGCTGGAACAGGAAGCTGCCCTGGCGACGAGCCCGGAGACAAAGAAAGACGTTGGGAGCAGGTTGAAACGGGCTCAGCGGGAGTGGCGAAGAGCACGCCTCCGAGCCATGCACCCCGCAGGATCCCGGCGACAACCGAAAACTGTCACGATCGAGGCGCTGCAGGATGCCGAGGGCTCACTGGTACATGATCGGAGTCAGTGGGGCCGCGTCGTGGAGACATATTGTCGCAGCAAGTATCACGACCCTCAAGAGACCCTTGAGCAGCAGAACCGACGTGTACGATGGCACCTCCAGCTTGCCGTTGAAGAAAAACGTCGATCCCCAGCCAGAGTTACAACACTTACAACTGCACACGTCTACCAGGGACGGGCGCGACTGAAACGCAACTCTGCCACAGGAGCCGACAGAGTGGCCAACGAAATGATCTTGGCGATTCCACCGCTGGGAGTTGAAGCTATTTGTCAACTGTTTCAGGCCCGTTATGCTGGCGACGAGGGGCACCCAGTGGAATCGTGGACGTCCGTCTTACAGATCTTTCTGCCAAAGTCAAAGCAAGCGCAAGCCATGCGGGACCACCGCGGGGTAGCGTTGCTGTCATGCATGCTGAAATGGTATGTAAATTCGCTGGTGGCCCTGTTCGAAGACTGGGACGGCCGAGGCCGGCCCACAGTGTACGACACCATCGCGACGTTCGGCTTCAAGGCAGGACGTAGTTGCGGACAAATCGTTGGCCCCCTGAGGCAAATTCTGTCAAAGGCGTACGAATGGCCGGAGCAATTCCCCGTGGTTGTTTTCAGTGGAGATATTTTGATGGCTTTTGATTGTCTGACTCCAGAACAAGTTTCTCGAGCCATGGTACACCGCAAAACTCCACACCGTCTCATTGCCGGTTTCCTGCGTGAAGGCCGTGATCTTCAACTCGAATGTTTGTTTAACCAGGTCAATGAACCACCAAAGGTGCCTTTCACCAGGTGCGAGAAAACGGGAGCTACTGACTCGACGGTAAAATGGAATTGCGTTTGTGAACATGTGTTCTCGATGCTTGTACCACATTGGCGAGAACTTGGCTTTGGTTTACGAATCAACGGCACCTGGTACACGCACTTGTGCTGGGCCGACAACTTGGTGCTGCTGGGCCGGACGCTGGGGCAGATCGAGAGCATGTGGCAGCAGCTTACTGGCGCTCTGCTTCGACACGGGTTATTTTGGAAGCCGGGAAGCATGGAGATCTTGAGCCCCAGCATTCCTTCACAGATCGACCATGTCAGCGTGAATCTTCCTGTGCCCGTCCTTGACGCACTCCGCCCAGATATGCCTGATAATTTTGAGGCGGCGCCAGTGCCGCGTGCAGCGGGCCCACAGCCGGCTGTGGTGGGGACGTACAACATCCCAGTGGTGGAGTCTATCACCCTCTTGGGCTCCATCCTGCACCGGGAGGGGCTGACCGAGCCGATGGTGGAGCACAGAGTGTCCAAAGCCATGGGGGCCTACTTCTCCGAGAAAGCCTTGCACTCTCGCATCTTGCCGCTGGATGAAAGACTCCGCCGCTACTCCGAGCTATTACCCCCCATCCTGCTGTACAACAGCGAGACCTGGGCCATCGGGAAATCGACTGTCCAACGTCTGCGTCAAATCGAAGGCCACTGGCTCCGGCGGATTGTTGGTGGCCGGCGACGGCGACCAGGGGAAGGCCTCGGAGCTTATCTTCGAGCTATGACCCGGCACGCCCGCAAGTATTACGCCACCCACGGGCACTTGCTCATCGAAGAGAGGCTGCTTGCGAAATACCACGCTGCTGCGTCGAACATCCATTGCGCCGGCTGCGTGCAGGAGAAGTGGTACACGGATTGCCACCTCCACCTGGACGAGGCTGCCTGGAGAACCACCGTGCGGGTGGGGAATGAACTTCAGAGAAAGGGCAAGTGGGTGGCACTGGTCGGCCGAGATCGGTGGCGCCACCGCCCAGGGTGGAAGAAACGCCTTACTTGGGAAGACCTTGCGATTGACTACTGCGAGGAGCGTTGGGGGGACATGAACTGGCGACTTTCTGTCAAAAATGGGCGATGGCATCCAGCACAGGAGCATTTTGTCCAATGGAGTTTACGACACTTCGGCTACGACTCGGG